CACTGTACAGTAGAAGTATGCGGGTTTTCGAAGTTAAGAGAATCTTTCGTTTAGCACATCTTCCCATAATTTGAGTATGGTACTTGGCTCGTTTCTCGCTTCTATGCTTATACCACCATGCTATTGTTATGGTGGTCGCTCAAGCCGTGCTGAGATAATTAACTGAGGATATATTGTTACGTGAATCCTTGACTACGAGGCGAGACACCCTTAGCGAGATTAATGTGGTAGACATCACGGGACACTTGAGAAAGCAGAATTCGATTGCTAGTAGATAATCACTCGATGCCGTCAGACAATGAGTCTTCGCGTCAGGATTAGAGACAGCGTAATATACGTTTATCAGACTGCTTGCCGTGATCAGACTGATAAGAGAGGTCGTTAGTTATCAGCGTTCCAATATGAAATATGATTTTTCACCTTTTCCATGAATATTTCGCAAGGTATTACTAAGCCGTTCTGAAAAATGGCCTGGAAATTTATAAAGTCTGGACCACGTGCGTCGCAAGGGGATTCTCATTCTTGAATAGACGTCGACATAGGATGCGAATCTATACGCGACAAGGGCACATGTGGCTTGACATAAAATAACTTTTCTCGATATCGACTACGTTGATGGCAATCATCAAGACTCCTTATGGGGTCGTAAGCATTGCTCGTGATATACAATAAAATGAAATAGGACGAATCAGTAATATTTTGGAATTTTCATGTAAATTGATCGATTTAGATTCTATTCTTTGAAATTTTTGATCCTTCATAACGTTTTCTTGCGAACGGATGTGAATCGAGTAGTGTCGGGTATAAAGACGCGAGAATGGCGCGTAGTTCAAAATTGTGGGTTTCAATTGGAATCGAGTGCGACAGGTGTTTATTGTTGAAGTTCGGAACATTCCGGGGAGTTCTCACGGCGTCCTATAGGGCTTTACGAGCGCTTAATAAAATTGCTCTAGCTATCGACCAATCGCAACGAATCTCATGCCCTACCGTTCTTGCGATTTTCAATTTCTTCCTGGCGTTTATAGTGGACACGTCCGTATATTGACGATGGGACGCCGTTGCATGTGAAAAATGAGTAAGTGGACGTCACGAATGCTATTGTCCTCCGGTCAATATGCTGTGTGATATTATATACCTATGGCTGATATTATATCTATATATTTCTGTGTGCAGCTGGACGATAAAGACATAATAATGGTCACGGAGAAATTCCAGTGGGTATGACTGAATTCTTTGGGAAATATGAAATTCTGGTTAAATCGGTGTTATTGGAATCTATGAATCGAGAGAAATTTAAGATAGGGTATGACGTCAGGGCTTATTTTTATATCAATATATTATAAGAATTCCTTCCCGAGGTAGTCAATATTTTTAAATTTTTCTCACGGCAATTTTCTGTCACGGGAATTGGATGTGGTAGTCGTTTCACAAGGTTCGCGTAAGAGAGATTTAATAAGTGGCAGATAGTGCTTCCTCGTGAAACAACTCTGGGCTGAGATTCATTCTGTCTACCTTGTATACTGTGTATGTATACTGTTGGTACAAATAGGCAGAAATCCAGTACAACTGGAATACCCGGTAATAAGTCACGTGTTTGTAGAACAGATACTTTGTTATCGTGCAATTAAAAATTTGTCAGTGCGGAAACTCAGATTTTTCTATTTTTTTTTCGTGTTATCCCGCTATACAAGGAAGCCGATTCGGGAGTTTTAGTAATAGCACGGAGAACTCGTTTCGTGTAGGAATATAATATAATATAGAATACAAAATTTGTATTATCGTATACGCATAGTAATAGTAATTAGGTAATTAGATAAGACTGAGTAAATTTATCAATTTCATTATTTAAACTGGCATTTAATTATCGAATTTATATATATCGTACAGCAAACGTATACTTTAGTTTAAATAAAATTTTAATTTAATTAAAGTAAAATAAAAAATAATTATAATCGAAATATAAATTATTGGATTTTTATACAAAATCCTTGTCCTGCTTGCTGACGCTCGTCTGGGCCATGTAAGAATAAAAACTGATTATCTTTGGACACAGAGAGATAGGACACAGGTATACTAAATGGCGACCTATAAATAACGAAAAAATATGTGACAGAATACAAAAGTAAGGAAGTCTTAACCGCCACCTTAACCCGAAGAACACTCGCATGCAATCCCAAGTCACGCGATCCTTTATTCCATGTAAAATACTGTCCTGTATTTATAAAGCAGCGATAATACCACAAGCTCTTCAAGCTACCTCACATCCCACCTTGACGCATGCTCACATACCTATCATACAAGTTCTATCAGCAGTATTAACATCTAGAAGACGGGAAACCGATTTCTCGGCTCTACGTCGGTCTGATATTTTCCTTAGCGTATTATTTTAGCACATGTATGAAATTTTGTTAATCAAAAGCTGTAGATCGTAAGAAAAATATTTCCATTTTCTGAAAGTTGGTCTCAGAGATAAAAGAAAAAAAAAAGAAAACTTGGCTCTAGAGTAAAAAAACGTATAACGAATGTCAGTAATGATCTTAATTTCCAAGATAAAAGTTCCATGAGATTAATCACAGGACAATCTGTCTTAAGATGAATAATGATCTAGACTCTCCATATGTATAAAAGATAAATCTAATAGACGTAGTACTCAGCCCTTATAGTAAGGTATCGAGTGATTTTGGTACACACAGATATATTCTAGAGGGTGACAATTTTCACAATACTTTCCTATTAAGTTCACGGTGGCTTAACGATCCCAGACATTAAAGGGCATCAATTTTTTTTCTCCGTCACACTTTACGAGGAAAGTTATGGCTTAATTCGAAGGCGAGTTTCTCAGCGGTAAACGAAGTTTCGCCTTAAACCGTGGAGCGATACATAAACTCGTGTAAGTAGATGGGCCCAGGTTGGTCGGACGATAATTTAGCGTCGAGGTCAGCGAGTATGGACGCTTGTGGACGCTATGGAAGCTACAGACACGGGGTCGAGCGTTTTATGGCGTCGTTAAGGCGTCGGGTAGAACTATTTATGCTCGTGACTCGAAGCTAGGACGTCGTTACATTTTATCCAAACCCGTCACGGTGTCCACCATTGGCGAAATTGTTTATCGATAGATAATTCGATAGATCACGTATCCCACTCTCTCTATATTAAAAATAACTTGTGGGAATCGAATGTTTACTCTATTTTAGGAAAAAAACTTCGATATAGCAGTGTACAATATTTTTCATGATAAAAAATATAAATTTTAAATTTTTCCCCGCAGTGTCATAAAATCCTCTAAAAATATTTAAAAAATACTGTCAGTTAAAACTTTTTGCGTAAATCCAACCTACTTACGGAAGCAATGCTCTTCTTAAGCTTTTCATCTATCTGAGAAAATATAAAGGCCGACAAACCCGTGCTTGCACACAATGCGTTTTAATTTAAGCTGCATCGTAAACTGCGGGATCGCATGTGCAAACGTTCCCGTACCTTCTCATGGGGTCTTTGTACCTATACGGTTGATGAAAACGGTCGTGCGCGATATTCCGCAAAGTTTGCCGTACGTGACCACTCTCGCTGCTGGTACCTCTCTTTACTCTCACTCTCTCTCTCTTTCTCTCTCCCTCTCCCTCTCTCACGGTCGCTCATGCCACATAGTGAAGAAAGTACATACTCATGCTCACGTTCTCTTTTTCTCTTATTACTTCGACACTTTTGATATCGATGTTATATGCATAAGGAAATACGACACACAAATGATTCCACATTAGAAGATGCAATTTGATTCCATTAAATACTTATAAACGTTGAATTTATTTAATCAAATACAAAATAAGCCAGTGAACGATGTTACAATAAATTATTAATATTCATTCTGAGTTCAATGAATTTAGATTTGTCGAATGCAATTTTTTAAAATGCCATCTTGTGATGGGTACTCGTTTTATAGAAATAAATACACGCATGTATATGCATATGCATTTCTCCGATGTACATATAGGTCGACTATAATTTGTTTGCAGTTTCAATATGCGAGATAGAATCCCAGCACAATGTCGTATTCGATGAGATTTCAAAATTTTTGTGGGGTAGAAGTATGTGAGGATGGAAAACTCCACCCTCGAATATTTTAACATACTTGTGAATACAGGCATGTACGTTATTGGTCCATTCTCTTTCCTCTAGGAGTGCAAGTTCTTGTAGTACCTGATATTTCAGTATGGGATACTAGTTCTTATTTTCATTTTATCTTTTGTGGTTTTCATCGAGATATGTTTTTTTGTCTTATAGGTATAGGTATTTTAAATCAAATTAGAAATTCATTGGACGATCACTTCGCTATATCCATGGGGAAGGTATTATAGTATAGAAATGCTATAGATACGTAACGGGTATAATTGGTACTGGGTCCGGTAACGAGAAAGGGGAATTCTGAAATCTCCACTGGTTGCGCTCATGCAATAATTGATAAAATTATTCAATGATTAGAACGTGCACGGATTGTGTATTCGCGATTAAAGGTTAGGACACGACGTGCTACGGCGCGATATATCGCGAAATTTATTTAATTTGCATGACGGTCGCACGTGAGGAACCGTGCGAGTTTATAACAAGATCACGAGACTTTAAAGGCGTTGGATTTAGGCGGGAAGTATTGATGAAAATCTCGTTACATAATCAAAAGTCGAAAAAGGAATTTTACATTGTTATTTAATAAACAAAGTACAATCGGTAAACAATTTTTGTCAAGCTTTTTCTAATATTTTCCCTTAGAAGTGCTAATCTCACGATTGATATTTTACAGGAATTAAGCTACCTCGTAATTAATAATATTAATAATTAATATGAAATACTAAATTATTAGAATTAACACAAATAGCAATTTTTCATAGATTTTTTTCAATCTTTGCGCTCTTCGCAACTTTGACATACGTAATATCCGTTGTCATATGTACAGTCGGTAACTCTTGAATGATTCAAATGGTGAAACGATTGGCAGTAGAAGGCGGAGAATTGTTTGACAAACAAGTGGTAGTGTCTTCGTTGGACTTGCGATAGGAACTAGCCACTATTTTAACAAACAAGTTGCAGTTGCGCAGCGTTTTCAACGAGACGAGACTTTGTCGGCGGGAACGGATTTAAAGGGAGGCATAACTTTAACGTGAGTAGATGCGAGTGATTGGAGATATGCATCTCGGATCACGTTATATTATTTTTGTAATCTAAAAACATTTTTTTAACATAACATTGTTTGAACGGAGCACAAGTTTTTCTATCGTTAATACAAATGTTGATAAAAAATATTGCATTTTACTTTCTTTGTGGTTGTCGTACCTTTTACCGTAGATTTAGTCGTCGAATCACTTTGCGATAAAAAATTGTCGAGACTTCTTGGTCGCCGCAGCTCCGACGCAACATCACTATAGATATTTAAACTCTTGTACTTTTTATGCATTTTTCTGGAACTAAAATTGCATCCTTGACTTTTAAGCTGAGTGGTGCCTCTAGGAGTAATGACAGAACTTCATTCGTAGAATACTCTATAACAGTTTGCCGGAAAAAATGGAATATTTGTTTATGATTTTACGAAAATTTCAGATGCGAATTTTGGGAACGATTCTTCTTTTCAATGTTCTTCTTCTTGCGAAAGGATTTAAAATTCTTGTTCTCGTACCGTACAGCGGAAAGAGTCACTGGTATGTCTTTCGTCCAATTCTTGAGGAACTTGTGAAACGCGGAAATGACGTGACAGTCGTTAGTAATTTTCCTCGAGAAAAACCTCTTAAAAACTATCACGATATCAGCATCGCTGGACCACTGACTGTGTCTAGCCATACTAAGAGCATGAATGTTATTGGCTCACGTAGACCAGTGGAGGAGATGAAGGGTATGTATATATAAAAAAATAGTGAATTCGTGATTTATCGTTGACAGCTGAGAATCTATTTATAAAAATGATAAATCACTTGCTATATCATTAATACGATCTCTAATTGACAATTCAAGTAAAGTATTAAATATATTTATGTAAAACATTGGATTATATATTGTTATCATCTTTATTCGTGTCACAAAGCATAACATTGCTTTATCAGCTATAATTGCAGACGAAAGATAAAATGAAAAGGCCTGCATGAAATAGTGAGAAAAAAACATCATTAACTCAGATAGCTATAGTAATATTGTGTTAATTATTAAAAAAAATTTTACTCTAAAATTTAATTGGTGGTGACATCGGATTTCATAAATTTATAACAAAATATCTATTTATATGTTACAGTGATTTTGAATAAAGGAGTAGAGGAAGTGTGTCGTAAGGCTTTAGCGCATCCAAAAGTTCAAGCCCTTATTGAGTCAAACGTGACGTATGACATAATTATCAATGAAGTATTTAATACCGATTGTTTTCTTGGTTTCGTATATAAATTCAAAGCTCCCTTAGTGGGGGTAAGAACGGCGTCCTTAAACCCGTGGAGTAACGACCGTATTTGGAATCCAGACAACCCATCCTACATACCAAATTCATTACTGGGAAAACCATCGCGAATGAATTATTTCGAAAGGCTTGAAAATTTCGTATGGCTCTGGTACTACAAGATTCTCTATAGGCATTACGACCTTATTTCTACCAACATAGCAAGGGAACATTTTGGCAAAGATATGCCAGAACTAAGTGAAATCGCAAAAAACACTAGCTTGATCTTGGTGAATTCCCATTTGGCATATCAGTACGCCAAACCGCAGGTTCCTGGCGTCAAGGACATAGCTGGCATTCACCTCGAACCTAATAAAACCATACCAAAGGTACTCAAAGAGTCTTTTTTTTAAGATAATGAAGAAAAGAGCTTCGTCTCCTCTATACCTACCCAAAGACAAACATTCAACTAGAAAGTGGTACGTAGTTCAGACGAGCTTGCTCGTCGACGTCGTTGACCTGATTTCCTCGATGTCTTTTAGTTCCATCTCCACCTTCTAGTTCAATAAAATTAAGTTCATCGACTGACATAACGAGAGGACCAGATTCAGACTGTAAATTCACTCCTTCGTTTTCCAGGAGCTCAAGGACTGGATTGCTGGTTCTACCAATGGAACAGTGTTCATCAGTTTTGGTTCCATGATCAGGTCTTCGTCAATATCAGACTCCAAGAGGAAGGCCTTCTTCGATGCTTTTTCCGAATTACCATTTCGTTTCCTTATGAAATGGGAGGCTGATAATTTGACGGATGTACCGGAGAATGTTATGAAATTTCAATGGGCGCCACAGTATGATATTCTTTGTGAGTATCACGAGTGTACACGTGCATATTAACCTTTATGCACTTTGTTCATACTTAGCTTGAACGTCCAGGTCATCCTAAGATCAAACTTTTCATATCCCATGGTGGTATGTTGAGCACGATAGAAGCACTGTATGCTGGCAAACCAATGATCGTTATTCCTGCTTTTGGCGATCAGCATACCAATGCTGCTCTTTTGCAAGAAAAAGGATTAGCTGTTGTTTTACAGTATTCTGCAATTACGAAGGATGCTGTTATCGAGGCATTGAAAAAGGTTTTGTATGATTCCAGGTAAGATTTGAAAAATTTTTTCAATTAAATTTCTATATTCGTGAATGAATTGTATCAGTCAAAATTTTTTCTCATTCTATCATGCGATATTTTAGTTATCAAAAAAAGGCTGAAGAAATGTCGGAGGTCATACGTGACCGTATTGTTCCGCCTGTAGAAGAGGCTGCTTACTGGATAGAATATATTGGCAGACACAAAGGAGCACCATTTATGCAAATTTCAGCTCACGGGATGCCACTGTATCAGTATCTTCTCTTGGACGTGATTGGTACACTTTTAATTCTTGCGATAAGCGTTGTACTGATACTTTTTATTTTTTTGAGACAAATATTTTGTTTTCTGTTCGAAACCTGGCGAAAGGTCAATGATAAAAATGGCAATGAGAAGAAGAAAAATTGATTGTAAATTTTTAATTGTTTTAAGTACGTAAAAGTAACTCTTGGTTCTACAAGCGAATTGTATACGGGAGTAGCGACCAAAGTGTGAAGTACACTCGTTCCTACATAACAGTTGTTTGTGGTACCGCAAACTGGTGGTATACTGTACCAGCAAGCCACAATAGTACTAGGGCAACTAGCAGAAATGCGTTGTAACATAGTTTTACGCGTTATTAAATTTAAAGTATTTCAACGAGCTTGTTATAACCAAAGATACATAAATTACCACGGAATAGATCGTTTAAATATTTACAAATTTCATATTCGCAAACAAGCTACAATTAAACCAATGCATTGTGCTGTCATCATAAAAATAAAGTTATACACATATCTATATTTTATTAATCAGCGTGTCTTCAAGTTAATATTATTCAGTATGCAGTGAACCTGCGCATTATTATTAAAGACAAAATATATAACAAAGTATAGCCAATGAGACTATCTCATGCTACAGGCATAGCACATGCATATCTCAGATTAATTCTATACCAACGAAAGGTGCTATACTCATTGTATAAATTTATACAACAAAAACCATAACCATAATTTAGATTATATAGAATCACGTCGTCCAGGATTCGAAAGTTGCACAAATACCTAGTATTATGTTTGTATCGTAAGACAAATGGCAGATACGGTAGACAAGAAAACTATACTAAGGAAGATTCAGAGTAGTACAGGGAGCGTGATCGTTGCTCTGGAGTGAAGACCGTTGCCAAGCGTCGATTGTCCTGCCTTCGCATTCCAAGACGTCGTTGACGCTCTCTGTGCCAATGTAATTGAAAAATTGGTCGCAAGAGGGCAGCGCTTACCGTTCAGTATTCGAGTAGGAGGAGGTATTCACTGATGTGCGAAAGAATGTATAGGCGCGGGGCTTCATTCTTCGGCGAGTCGATCTTCTATATCGACTTCTTGCAGACCGCACGTCTCCGTTCTTCCTTCCCCTTATCACTCTCTTTATATTGTGGCTCATTTTTAGCTTCTTCATCTCCTTCTTACCTGTATTTCGAGGTTAATTTTTTCGCTTGTTCATCTTTCTTTTTCTCTATCGCTCTAACTCGCAATTTTTCCGGGCTGAGGTCGGCATCCCTTATTGGTCTCTCTAGGTCAGCGGTCACTTCGGACTGCGTTCGCTTGTGCTACTTCACTTGGCGTATATGGGTGACCCTGCAGTCACCTGATAACTTTTAATCACCCACTGGTGGAAAAACTTTGCGGGGAGCATCGAAAGCTACCGGGGTTTGCTTTTCCCTTCTGTAATAATGTAAGAATGATTATCAAGTTCGAATACTTGCGTAAACAAACCTCGAGTGTCGAGGGACTCGTCGAACTTGTCAAGGCTACCCAAGGAACAATGAGAAAAAGACGAGGAACCAGTGGTGAGTGATTTCCTTTTATCTTTTTGCTTTAAATTCCCGCTAAACTTTTGTGTAATTGCGTAACGTATAACTTAAGTTTTACTTTTGCTATACTTATATTTAAAAAATAGGGTAAATCAACAAGTTCCTTTACGTGAACTTCGTTTACTGAGGCCTGTCCATTCCCTAGTCGAGTTACGCTACTTTTACTATACGCGTATTACATTTTGGTCATGCATTTTGGAAGTATGTCTGTAATATGGAACAGTCTCACTGGTCTTCCGAATGATCCACCGCAGATCTACTGCATACTAAACAATTATTATCGGGTCTTTAGCCCAGAATACACGAGATATCGTGCATCGATATGCAACAGTAACATTAGTTGGCGAACAGAACATTAGTATCGGCTTTCGATGGTAGCTATTTTTAGGACCATTACGATAGATTTATACATATATCAGTAATAAAACCGAAAATATTAGACCGTTCAGATATTACAGGTTAGATACTACAAACAAGCCTGGCTCGATTTTTCATAGGTACGGCAAATGATTTCGCGTACGTATGACTGTATACATCGTCAGTGGAAGGGTAGAAAAAAAAAGAAAAGAATACAAAAGCGACAACAGCAATAGCAAAAAACACTCGTATTGTTTCGAAGCATAGAACGTAACGATCGCTGGTGGGACAGAGGGGGTAGCCGTTTTCAAGCTGTTACATGATGAACGGACTGCGCCAGCCGATAGTGACATTCGAACCATATAATTGCATTGTAGTCACATCCATGCAGTGCACTCCTGCATACGAGTTGCATCCTGGAAATGACCTCCAATTTGTATATCGCTCCGATTGCGTTTCGGTCAGCGAAAATCGTAATTCCGCGGATATAGTCTCGCGAGCGGAGTAACCATTATAGAGAGATGCAGCATTGAGCTGACTGCGAATTTCAGCGTTGAATGTCATGCATCGTGACAATATCACAAAAGGCATTTTAACCAGGTAAAAAGGATATACAGGAAGGGAGAAAAGTGTTTGCGTTTTCTAATTCAATTCCTTTGTCAGGGACAAGTTCATTCGCAACTGAACGACCGTATTGTGCGCTCAAACATTTTCGTGGGAATGTAGAACCGATTTTATTACGAGTGTATGCTGCTGCGTGGGTAACAATTGTTAATGTCAATGATACTTGAATTTAACACTGGAAATCCAAGTGTGCCATTCCCTATACTTTTTACGGTAGTCACTTTTTACACACTCGCAGGCGTGTTGTTATGCCCGCAAAGTCCAACGTAAAAATAAAAAGTAACTACCAGAGAAAGGATAGGGAATAACGCAGTTGGATTTGCAGTGTATTAGTACGATGCAAAACAACCGTACGTGTTGTTTATCGTGTGATGTAAAGAATAGGTCAATACTGAATAACTGTCAGGATTATAATTTTCTTTTTTACGAAACTGTTGTGCGTATATATGTCACGTGTTTGATATATCCTGTACGAAATACGTTGTTTGCGTTATTTGGGGAACCATTAGCAAATTGGAACAGGGAGACGATTACGTTTCTGTTTGCATGCAGTCAATCGTGTAAGCGATGTTGGACAGGATTGTTTTTGACTTGTGAAAAATTGTTATCTAATTCGTCAATCTCACAAAACAAATAGTAGCGGTTACGAAAATTGGACACCATTTCGTATATTTCTGTGACGTGAACGTATTTCTTTTCAACCTCAAAAGTAATTGGTATACATATAGGTATATGGTCCAATGTTGTCTGGATGGAACTAATCTGAAACTAATTTAAATAGACTAACTTATTTAAATATTCATTAGTTGTATCTTGTTACTTTAGTGTATGTTCATATGTTTTTTATGTAGCAATGACTTCTCTCGAATGCTTTTCAAATTACCAATTGGGTTGGATGACAAGCTGCAGAAAACCAGACTCTCGACGTTCGTCGAGAGCCACTATATTATCGTGGCGCCGTTATATTAGTAAGCACGTGCTCGCTTTTTTCTGAATACTCCGACGCTGCTTTGGAAATGTCAGCCATCGAAACGTTCGATTTATCATGGCGTTCAACTAATACGATAGCACAGTAGAGCATAAAGTGCGTTACATTAGTCGTATATTTGTTAGTGAACGTCGGAATGGATACGTACGGTGAAAATTCTACAATTTCATTGTAATAAACTTTGACGATTAATTAATTACGTAAATTGGTATAAATGTCTATATAAATGACATATCATGTCGAACGGTGTAAATTTTAGAATCAATTTTCCAGAATACTAATACGAGTATTTGTCGTTTTCGGTTCAAAAGACGACGTTGACATTTACATTGTCGTATATTCTGATAGACCATTTTTTTTACAATACTCTATATGTATAGTATACCGTTATTATGCAGTGCATTGCATAAGTATAATCAGCCTATTTATTTAATTCATCGTATCCTGATACAGTATCAATAAAAGAATTTGATCTGACAACATCTCTGTATGCCTGCAATAATTTTCAAATAATGTACACCGTACTGCATAACACGATCCTCGGCAACCTAATTCCCACTAGATTCAAACGACAGTCGACCTTGCCAGTTAATTGGGACAGTAATTAACTCCTTTCCATGCTACTAATCTCTCGATAAGCTCCACCGACCCAGTATCATTTCCTCGTAATTGTCACGGCGGTACATATTTCACCCCGTAATACCTGATAATATATAATGAATTTACATCGCTCGTCTTGTTGAAAAAGTTATTCTCCCGTATAAAAGGCAAGGTATAAAAACGAAGGCGCGTGCATTCAAAAGGCGCGAAACACAAAAAGCATGAAGAGTGAGAGAGAGAAAAAGAGAAAGAGAAAGAGAGAGAGAGAGAGAGAGAGAGAGAGAGAGAGAGAGAGAGAGAGAGTGAGGGAGGGGGAGAAGAGTAAGGAAGTCCCAATAAAGGGTCTCTCTCTCTCTCTCTTTCACTCATTCTGAACAACGGAAGCCAGTGCTTACCGCAACTCTTAGGCAGCTTATAAATTCAGTTGTCAACCCTAGTAACCCAGAGAGTTGCAGAAGCGAGCTTTTACGAGTGCTACCCGAGTGCTCACCCGAGCTTCGGGTGAGCTTCCCGAAGATGACCGAAGCGGCCTGGCGATATCTCCTGCCGCGCAAACTCTCCAGTCGGCAAGCTCACTGCGTGGGCTTTCGAGGTTCAGCCGTGGCCTCGGACCGACAGGTTACCACCGGCCGCGCAACTGACAACCTCGATTCCTTATCGCTTCACCTATCCCCATGTGCGCACTAGATGTACGAACTATTTGGAGAGAAAAAGCGTTACGTGCGTGAATGAAAAAACGTTTTGGTGCTTTCACGTGAAGTTCATGATCGCGTGAATCGTGTGCAGAGGATGTAGACTGAGGGAAGGGAAAGAAATGAGAATCGACCGGGTTTCTAGAAGATATCTCTGAAGCAGCTACAGTGTGAAAGCTCAAGTGCCACTTTTCACTGTAATTGGTTAAGGATTATACGTCGCGATAAGGTTGCGTTCAGATTACGTGATTGGTCGTTGTGGCACGAAACGCCTGCGATATGGAAATTTTTAGCTGTAATTGGGCATTTGGAGTCATTTGTGACTTTGTGCTCGTTCTTCGTAGCTCTTGTGACTCTCTGAGTATGTCTGGCAGTTGTTTACGATGATATTACCTATGGGAATATCATTGATGAAAATGGATCTTTGCACTATAAATTACAGATTGTACCATAAATATTAAGGTATCGCAGTGCGGAATTACGTTGGTTTTGTCGTTATGATTTTGTGGTGAATCCAAACGAAAAGTGTACGTATAATTTGCGAAATGGATAAGAATTGAAACACGGTGACTTGTCTCTTTTTATATAGGACAATTGTGTCGGCGAGTATCAAAGGGTCAGTCGGTGGAAATGGAAATAAATAGTGTAGACTGGTATTTCGTTTGCAGCGGATGTGGGCTAAGTGTAGCAATATATCAGATGAATGATAATTGTCGGAAGTATATAACGTAGAGTACGGTTCAACGTTAATAAGAGTTTTGACTATCGTTATTAAAACTTCCAATGGATACTTGAACTTAATCAGGTGCTACTGTGCTTAATTAAAGAATCTTTGGATTGGTATACAAGCGTGTACGGTATTGATGTTAGGTATGCAGTAGAATAAAATTGTCGAACGAGTTTAATATATTGAAAAGTATACTTGACCACGTGAAATCTAATAATTTCATAAATATAATGTGATAAAGTCTAATATTCATCAGTCTTGTAATAGTGTAAATCGAAATTTTTATTATCTTTTTTGATTTTTCTATTGTCATCCTTTTATAATTTATCAATGTGAATTACCGTAAACGCTTATCAGTCTCCAGATAACCCAGACTTTGTTATGCTGGTGTGATTTGATATGGCAAGAGTTAAAATCGTGAGTCATCTCAATGAGATACAGTTACACCTAATATGTTAGTTTGAATTACCTAACTTTAACTTAATACCGAAATTCAATACTCGTAAACGTTACGTTCCATATACTATATGTACAATGACAACAGGTTTCCTCATTATTTCCCACGCTGTGAACACGCGCAATTAGTTCTCAGTGTAATACGTACAAGGAGTCACGAGTGATCGCGTGTTTTGTTTCATCGAACGGAAAAAAAAAAAAACGGATACACTACCCCTTCGGATCCATTTTACGAAGACTATTCCACACCATGCAGAAAAACCTGAAGTTCAAAGATCGTCTAGCTGATTTGACATCACGTGTTACAGAGTCAACGTAGGAAGCGTTAATCAAGGTTAGTTTAAATGCCTGAGCCACGTGCTTACGAAAGGAAATTCGTTGCGCAATGAAATCTCGTCGTTAAATCGAAAAAGCACGAATCGTTATCCACCTCGTTGACTGTTAAAGAACGTGTGTGATATTGAGGTTAAAAAAAATTTGCTCCATCGGTACGTGCCGTTGTATTGGTATTTATAAAAAGAACGGAGCGAGGGAAAGCAAATCGCTAGCATCGCAAGGCTGAAGTACTACACGTGTGACTTTATACGTATTTGTTGACCCAAAAATATGTATTACGCAATTCTCATACCGCGAGTTGCATGTTAATTGGATTGTATGAATTTGCAGATTTATTTCGAATATTCGTCGTTTATTATATAATCGAGGATTTTCGACTTGAGCTTAAGAGCATGAGTTTTTGAGAATCGTAGAATTAAAAATGTTTATTATTGATTATATGAAAAAAAAAATTTTATCAGTATTTGGAGTATTGTGCAAATAACGTATACTAGAGAGTGCAGTCGCTAACTAGCATGTGAAAAACTACTACGTGACTAAAATTATTAAATCGAGCATTGTTATTATTATTGTGAACTAGAAAAATTTATGCGAAACTCGTTAATTCACGTGAAGTCGAAGATTCTAATATTGACCCGAACTAGTGTCAAAAAGACGCTAGCGAGTAAGACGATATCCGTGTGGTACGACGAAAGTTCGATAACTTCGTTAGCACGGTGAAATATAGCTGTGGTTAATTAGCACAGTTTCCGAAACAAGTCGCGTAGGTCGAATCCAAAGACACATTGGCGAAACTAGGTAGATACGGAGGTGGATACACACATAATCCAATAGCGTCTAGCGGAAAGGAAGAAAGAAGGAAAGAAGTATAAAAAAAAAGTAAGTGAATTACCCAGCAAAAGAAAGTGGAACCCGGGCAATTCGTCGATCGCGAAATCCACTGACTTTCGTTCCTCGCCAAACGAAAGTAAGACGAAGAAGAAGGTAGTCGTTGAAGGAAAGCAGCAATGTCGAATAGAAAGGATCCCGTCTGGCCTGACTAACTTTTCTATACGAAGTTTTGCTCGCGAGCGGAACTTTTAACAATGCCGCTTCCAATGCATTAGAGCCAGGGAGTCTGTTTTGTGCCTTCGAGTGTGAAGATAGCGTTAACGGAAAGGGCGAAGGCGGAAAAGTGCACGGCAAGCAGAATGGCAAAGCGATCCCTTGTCCCGAGCGTAGTAGCCCCTAACCGCCCCTATCAAGGGGGCTGTCATCAGTTTTAATATTACACAAGAGAGACGGTCGGACGACACCAGTGGCTGGGATAAGGGCGAGGCTTCCCTTAATAATGAGACGATATTACCCCGGTGCCGGAGCTCGGAAAAGTCGAAAATAATACAAAAGAGCATTTCAATCTCTTATCGGTCGACAGGAAGGATTTTTAAATAAATGAAATCTCACTCGAGACATCGTGGATTCGTTGTGTCTAATTCACCGAGAGAACTTTAATCTCGACGTTTTCAACTAATCGGCCGTATACTCTCTACAGTCTCGATTCGTCTTTTATTGTGCTGCTCTCGAAACATTTAATAAGAATTCTTGGCTCAAGGGGTTGACGTGACTGAACTACAACACAATATACATATATACACAATGTCAACGGATTCTGCCTGATTTTTTTTCTCTCCCTCTCACTCTCACCATTGTTTCTTCTTTTTAATCGTTAATTCGCGTGCACGCGCTCTACTTATCCCCCCCCCCCCCCCCCCCC